AAATTAGTGTAACTACACCCCTAGAATAAACTGCTCCTTTTGAAATGAACTATACGTCTGTGGCACTATCTGCATACACTGATCAATTCTACAAAACTATCAGCACGATTACGATGGAATTAGTCTACATGTGTGTCAGTATAAGCTAATTGTGCTAAAATGCAGTTCCTACTAAATCACCATTTATAAAAAGCTGTGTTTCTGAACTACGTGGGTAACTTTATCAAAAACTCACTTGATGCCGCAAGATCAAAGAAACAGCATCAGACACTGACAGCATTTAAAAATTTATATCAGAGATCCAAAAATTGTCACAGTGAAAACAGGACATAAATATGGGATAATGATAACTTAGAATTTGCTTGATAAGTGAAATGCAAAAATGAGATCGTTGAGAGGAATGTTATCAAAGCCGGCAATAGACTTGAAATACTTCCATGCTTCTGGATGACTAGGTGAGTAGTGACGCCAACGAAACAATTCGGCCATTGTGGCTGGCTGAAGCGAATATGTTTGAGCAACACCTCACAAGAACATACCTAAGGAATGAGTTATTGGGAGAAATCACCTCATCTTGCACTGTCGATGCACAATCATCATCCTGTTTGTCATCACTGGAACTGTCATTTTTGACGTTAGCTTCAGGTTCACTTTTGTCAACATCGATGTTAGTATCCTCATCTGAAAAATTACTAAGTTGGAAACAAGGCTTTTTGAAGAATCATACTCTATCAATTTTAGATCATTTTAAAACAGTTGGTAGTAAGCAAGTGGGTCCTCAATACCTTCTTGCGCTTCTTCCATCTCAGCTGGCAGTAATCCCGTTCCGTCACACTGGCATCCAAGCAGTTCATGAGTTTCACACAATGTCTCATTTACGTTAAAAATATCCTCCAAATCTTCATCAAGGAAAGTAGACCTCGCTTTAGAAAGGAGTGGATACGTATAAATGGTTGAAATTTACAAAAATAAAGTAGAAATGTTATAGTTACAGGAAGAATCGTTGAGTCTTATGATAGAAGTCAGTCCAGTTTTTTTGACCTGTCGCTGAAGAATCTTTTCATCTATTGTGCCCTAAGCAAGAACAATCGAACGTAATTTGACA